TAACACCAACACATAAAGAGTAAGTACAGGAAAGGAAGAACTACAAATAAAACTGGGAAATACCAGCAGAGGGGTAGAAAGAAAATCAATAGTAAGGTATCATCTAAGTTGCAGCATATATAAAAGAGAACTGGAATCATTTTAAAGTCCTCTTTTCACTTAAAAAAGGTCCACTCACCTGCATCAACCACATGATTATTCAAATAAAAACCACAATGCTGACAACTACAAATAAAAACCGAAACATGTGGATATACCTTAGTATGTCTATATTTGCTTGATGTACATACAAGCTTAAAATAAGATTTCAAAAAGTTTAACCTATTAATACTTTAAAAAATCCTTCATATTAGGCTTTAGACAAATGATCATATACAAATTCAAACCAAGGAATATTACTGAAAAAAAATCAGTGATTTATCCCCACTATGTATTATGTTTGTAAAGAATACTTGTCATAATTGTGAATTAACTGTGTTACTAGCTCTTACTGCCAAATTTAGCTCTGTTTATTTTAAAAACAGAAATGTTTTAACCAATTTTCAGGGCTAGATATGTATAGTGCACAATACCCAGAATAAAAGGTTGCTTTATTAACTCCAACAAGATTACAACGATCTACTCAGGAATGTTAACACAAATCTCTAACTAATACAACTCCAAAAAGAATCCTCCTCTGCCCTTAGTACAAAGTTATTAACCAAAATGTTCAGAAAAGGAAAAAGAATAAACAGTATTATCAAGGACAAACACCACCATTTACTGAAAATTTTCCCCCTCTGGGAATTTTCATATCTTCTGTGGGAAGAGCAGAAGGTGTTGTGTTGGGAGATAAAACACTGTTATTTTAAAACTACCATGAGGACAAGACTAGCAGCACCATGAGATTATTTTAAAGTTTTGCAATTAGATGTAATACAAGACTCATGAGTAAAATCCTCTTTTTAGAAAGTGCTCAAAAGTAATGGATACATCTGAGTCTCTTTTTCTGTTTTGCATATAGGGTTATCGTTATCATCTTTCTAAAGTCCATATATATGTGTTAGTATACTGTAATGGTCTTTATCTTTCTGGCTTACTTCGCTCTGTATAATGGGCTCCAGTTTCATCCATCTCATTAGAACTGATTCAAATGAATTCTTT